TCCTTTTCCCGCCCGCCCCTAGGAAGGCTGAAGGTGCCCAGAGGAAAGATCCAGCCAGCCAAACGTAGCCTCCGCTTCCAAGTGTTTTTCCAAGAGGGTCCCAGCTCTCCAGCGAGACCCCTGGGGACAGTCAGGTCACAGGGATAGGAGCCAAAGCCACACGAAGTGGTGAGTGGTCCTCAAAGACATCCAAGGACCCGGAGAGCCTGAGATCCACACATGGATTTGGAAAGGGCCAAGCGTGGAGGAACATAAGGAGGGGATAAAACCGATGGAGCTGCCGGAGGAAGGAAAACTGGGAATTCCAAGAGGGACGGGAAGCCTTGATCTCTCCAAAGAGGCTTTGAGGATAAGACAGGAGGAGTGACAGTGCGGAAGGTTCAGCTGTGCCCTGGGGGCAGCCAGAACTTGCCCAGAGAACACTCCCTGCTCCACCAAAACTCCAGGGCAGGTTGGGACACAGCCCAAGAGCCGATCCCTGCGGGCACTGGAGCGGAAGGAAAGGAGCAAAGCTCACAGCTAACCCCACTGCAACTTGGCCAGGAAAGGAGGGTTTTCCTTGCAAGGAAACATGTCATGGGATCTACAATGCCCAAAGCTGGCCAAGAGCTCCTGGGACACGCTCCTGCCGGGATAATCCCTGCGGATCCGCAGAGCCCCCCCAGCGTCGCATCGCTGCGGAGTGAGGCCAGGAACACCTATTGCCATTGGAGGACGCCCAGGGCCAGGCCCCAGCTGGAATATTCGTCCAGTGTTGGGCACCTTACCTCCGCAGGGATGGACAAATTCTGGAGCAGATCCAGAGAAGAGCTACTAATAGATATGGAGGGTCTTAGCTATGTTGAGAGCCTGAAGAGCTTAAGCCCATTCAGTTTGGAGAGGAGGAGGAGGAGGCTACGAGGGATCTTCGCAGTGTGTGAGCACCTAAAAGGGGATCATAAAGACTCGGGTCAGGAGCTCACCAGGGCTCAGGAACGGGAAACAACCCCCAGAGACTTCCTGGCAGTGTTTCCCTCCCCCCCTCCCAGAATTCCCAAGGGCTGGGTGGGCTTGGCCTGGCAGCTGTGCTGGGGGATCCGTGGGGCCCACGAGGCGGAACCCCCTGCCCGCGCCTCACTCACGTTTGCGAGCCTGAGCCTCGAACTGCGACAGGTTCTGCCGGGTCGCCAGCCTCACCTCCACCTTGTCTCCGTTCAGGATCTTGCCAGGAAGGAGCTCCAGCAGTTTGTGGACTGAGTTCTCGGAGGCCACCACCACCTCCGCGTAGCTGTGCGGAGGACACGGAGGTTCACCCACTGGTAGCAGGGAGGGACCTCCCTCCAGCACACTCCTGAGCCTTCAGGGGGTCACACACTCCTCCTAAGCCATCCAGGGGTGACACACACTCCTCCCAAGCCATCCGGGGGTGACACACACTTCTCCTGAGCCATCCAGGGGT